AAAGAGACACAAAGTTGGGTAGGTAGAGAAGGGACGTTGGATCTGGGAGGAGCTGGGGATAGGGAGTGGAAGATGATCAAAATACACTGTATGGCATTCTCAAAGAATAAAAATACGTATTTTTTTGAACCTCAAAATCTATAGATTATTACGTGAAGAACCTATACAGTAACCCCTACAGGTGCACTGGATATGGTTAATAACCAAAGATAGCTACGATAGACATCCATTTACAATTAATTCAGAATTAAGATACTAAGTTATGTGCAAATCATATACTTTCAGAATAACCTAACTGAAAATACAGAGTACTCATTTCTTCACAAAGGAACTTAAAACTTACACAAACTATCCGGTAGATTATGAACAAAAGAGGTCTGTCTGTTTGTGAAAGCACTAATGAAGATATGTGCTTTTAAAATGCTGAATGGAGCCTCTGTACACCAGATCTAAATTCATGTATTGGAATGTATTACATATATTCAACTAATTCTTACAAGTAAATTTAGACTTGAGATTTAAAGCTGTTTAATATCACTCCAATAATCTACAGAAATTTTAAGTCTGTCATTAAGGTTCTTCTTTGAGTACTTTTGAAAGACAGTAAATTATGATCCAGAGAGCATTGTTAGGGCTAGGAAGCAATACAGCACTGATAGTTACACTTAAGAGCATTTCTCAATCTGTCTTTTTCTACTGCACTCTCTCTTTCAAACAACTGTTAAGCTATTTGAATTTCCAGATTCTTTGTATCAGCAAGAGCCTAATGAATGCCGCTAACAAATTCATTCTTATCCTTCTTACAGCATTACAAGTTTCTTTTGTGTTCACGATCACGTATCTTAGATTAAAGGTAAGTTTGAATTATGGAAAAATTTAATCAGCTGAACTTATCTCCAAACCTTTAAAGGATTTCTTTGGGAAAAAATAAGTTAGCCATTATGTAGACCCTCTATATTTTATAATAGATTTTACTAGTAATAAATCCATAATGTTATCAATTAGCCTTTATGCAATGATTTTACTAAAATTGTCATCACAATGAATAATATCTATTACATAAAGGTAAAAGTGTCAAAATAACTTCCTTTATATGCATACTACAGATTTTATAATTTACAATGTACTTTTCATATATACTATCTAATTTAAACCTCACAGGCTACTTTGTGAAGTATTACTGTTAGCTCATTTTTACTTTATAGGAGGAAATTAGACTTTAAGGATATTAAGTGGCTTATTCACCCAGATACTAAGTGGTAAAGTCAGGGTTTAAGCTTAATCTTTTTGCTCAAAACCTCTTATGCTTTTAACTTCTGGAATAGTGTCTATTCTTCTTCTTCTACCTGAGAAATGAGGTAGTGCTTCCTAGCTATGGAAGCACTGAGTACTTGAATTACAGGTATGCGCCTACCTGTATTTCCAAATGTGTAAGAGGGTCTGTAACATTACATATAATATCTACTAAGCAAGACATTTTAAAAATATTTTATTATTTTAATTTTTTTATGTGTATGAGTGTATTGCCTATATGTATGTAAGTGCACCCGTTGTTGTGCAATGGTCTTGGAGGTCAGAAGAAGGTATCAGATTCCCCTGAAACTGGAGTTATAGACAGTTGACAGCTACCATTTTGGGTGCTGGGAATTGAACCCAGGTCCTATGAAAGAGCAGTCAGTACCTTCAACTGCTAAACCAACTTTACAGCCCAGCAAGTTTTTTTTATGTGATTTATTTTGCCACTCAACTATGTCCCTCATTATCTCTCACAGCTACAAACTGTATTTTAAAGTAACTGTACAGAAAGCCTAACTCAGATGAAATCACAGCATACATACATTTGAATTGCACTTATAATTATTTTGATGTGTCCAAATACCCAACTTTCACTTTATTTCTTTCTAAAGTTCATTATTTCTATACTTTTTCCTCTCTCAAATCCTTAATTTAAAAAGATTATAGAATGACTACAGAGACAGATACCAAGATTAGATGGCAAGAGCTCCAGCTGTTCTTTCCACATTCAAGTTTTCCTCCAATGAACAGAAAGCAAACTAAAGGCAATTTATTCTCGGTTCTTAGTTTCATATTTTCATCTATTAAGGAAAGGTAAGGTAACAACTATAAATATAAACTGTAAGCACGGGTTATATTTTAATTCATATTCTAACAGTACACTGATAAAATACAAATGACAAAATTATGTATCTAAGTTCAAAGCAAGGCTAATTTACCTAGATTCACAATAAAACTATATATAAGCCTTTTCTGAATCTTATCATTTAAAAAAATATATTTTTTATTTTATGTGTATGAATGTATTGCCTGCATGTATATAAATGCACCAGTGTCATGCAATGCCGGCAGAGATCAGAAGAAGGCATCAGATAACCCTGGAACTGGAGTTAGAGATGGTTGTTAGCCACCATGTGAGTGCTGGGAAACAAGCCTGGGTCCTCTACAACAGCAGCCTGTGCTCTTATCAGCTGAGCCATCTCTCTAGTCCCTGAATTTTATTCTTTATAAAAACTGCTAAACCCCATTTTTGCCTATTTTAAGTTAAAAGACTTCAAAAGAACATGCTATTTATTTTTACATTGTAAAGGACTGAAGGGTCAAGCTATAACCACATTTCAGATCTGCCAGAAGGAAGATTCAGTCACATAAAATACAGGGACAGATTACTGTGAAGTAAAATAACAAAGGAAAACTTGTACAACTGGCTACT